ACTGATTCTATTGGTCCACAGGGAAATAATCTCTATACGAGCTGCGATTTCTGTAGTATTTCCTGTAATATTTCCGAGGGTAGCCTATCTGGTCTCGCTAGCATGTAGGTCCTGTGTTGATTCTGGTTGGTCAAATGGGAGAGATAAGACGCCGTTGACTGACCACCTCATGCCATACCCAGACTAAAAGGTAAAGTGGCGGACGACTCTGAAGCAGACTCCAGTGGCGGATGACTCTGGGGTTGCACACTCATCTCACTCTATAGGCTGAGGGAGCCGGGGTTTGTCCGCAGACAGCGTCCAGGTCATGTGGCCAGCATGACTAAGCTGCTTCTGGCAAACCACAGCAGCACACAGAAACGCTGTTTACCTTCCCGCCGGAGTGGTACCTATTTATCTACTTGCACTTTGACATGCTTTCAAACTGCTAGGTGGGCAGGAGCAGGGACTGAGCAACAGGAGCTCACCCTGGGTGATTCAAATCACCGACCTTCTGATCAGCAAGCCCTAGGCTCTGTGGTTTAGACCATAGCACCACCCGTGTCCCAATACCCAGACTTACACATGCAATATTCCCAATTTGGCTACTAAGTCATTGGAATCTGTTGTCTAACAATCTGCATTTAATTATCTCAAACACAGAATTTCTCTAAGGATACATCAAAGGTTGCTCAGGAAAATGATTATTTGCCCCCTTTCTTCTCAGATTTGGGGGGCTCCTGGTCAGTGATAAAATACTCACCCGTCCATTCCTTCCTAGTGATTTCGTGTGCTAAGTGCCATTGACACTTGCTGATTGACAGCAGATCTAAACCTCTTTTTTATTGACTTTGGGGGAGCCTAACTAATGTGCTAGAGAGCATGCAGCACGATAGCTTTGATGTGTCAGCAGTCCTTTCTCGAGACTTTCTGGCATGTGTGTTAAATAAATAAAAGTGCATTTGTATACCAAAGCAGTTTGACAGCATGCAAATTCATAAACAATATGAAAGTTGTCAGACAAAAACTCTACTGTGTCTTACATGACAAAATGGGAGGGAGGGGATGTGAAAAAGTATTTGCTTAGTACTCTTGGGGCCAAACAAGACAAGACACTATTTGTGCAATTAGCAATTACATGAATAATTTTTCAAGGGTAGAGATGAGCAAATCTGTCAATTCTGATTTATCTCTGTTTCTTATTTTCCCAGTCTTAAGCGCAGTTCTCCACGTTTCCACACTAGTTTGTGAATATGTTTTTTAAACCAGTCCTTGTGAAAATTCATCAGCATTTCAGGGCAAATTTCACCTAAATTACATTGTTGCATGCAGTTTTCCCTAAGATTCATGTTTTTCATAGAAATCAAAGCATTGCAGAGTTGGAAGAGATATTGAGTGTCATCTAGTCCAACCTGCTGCATTGTATGAATCTCAACTAGAGCATCCATGATAGATGGCCATGCAATCTCTGCTTGAAAACCTCCAAGGAAGAAGAGTTCACCACCTTCTGAGGAAGTCCGTTCCCCTGTTGAACAGCTCTTACTGTCAGAAAGTTCATCCTGACGTTTAGTTGAAATCTCCTTTCTTGAAACTTGAATCCATTGGTTTGGGTCTTACTCTCCAAAGCGGAAGAAAACAAGCTTGCTCCATCTTCCATGTGACAACCCTTTTTATATTTGAAGATGGCTATCATATCTCCTCTCAGTCTCCTCTTTTCCAGGCTAAACATACCCAGTTCTCTCAACCGTTCCTCGTAAGGCTTGGTTACCAGACCCTTGATCATCTTGGTTGCCCTCCTTTGTACACATTTCAGCTTGTCAATATCCTTCTTGAATTGTGGCACCCAGAACTGAACACAGTATTCCAGGTGAGGTCTGACCAAGGCAGAACAGAGCAGTACAATTACTTTCCTTGATCAGGACACTATACTTCTGTTGATATAGCCTAGAATAACATTAGCCTTTCTTGCTGCTGCTCACACTGTTGACTCATGTTAAGCTTGTGGTCTACTAAGACCCCAAGATCCTTTTCACATGTACTACTAGCAAGCCAGGTGTCCCCCATCTTAGATTTGTTCAGCAGGTTCTTCCTGCTTAAATGCAGAAACTTATGTTTGTCATTTTGTCAATTCATTTTGTCAGTTTTGACCCAGTTCTCTAATCTTATGGTCCTCTTCAATCCTGATTCTGTCTTGTGGAATTAGCTCCCCCTTGGTGTCATCTGCAGATTTGATGAGCATCTCCTCCATATCTCCATCCACATCATTTATGAAGACGTTGAACAACAATGTAAAACAACAAAGCAATTTTCCATAGTATGCATTTTTGTATGTTATTTTCATTAATATAATGCATTTTTATGGACACTTTAGCCAAGCATATGCATTTTTATACAGACTGGCTTGTGATCTACATTGCAAAATTCAAAGACATGTGAATTTCAAAGGATGGTTGTGTTTTGGCTCTTGCATTGTTTCAGAATGTGTGGATTAGGTAGGTTCACCTTTGAACATGAACCAAATTGAATTTCTCCCCAACCCTACGTAGGAGCCCTGAGCCCTGATCAAGATTTGGAAATGGGGAGCAGTGAGGTTTTAGCCAATAGGGGGTTCTGTAATGTGGCAGAGCCACTCTCCTGACACCAGCATTGCTGCAGCTTACCTGGAAGAGCTGTGCTAGGGTGGTACAAAGTCGGGGCTGCATGGATGCACTGCTGGAGCTAATCCAGCATTCCCATTGGTGCATCTGTGCTGCATCAGCTTCATCACCACTCACTCTGGTTCAGGTAAGCTGGAGCCAGGAGGGAGGTTCAGTGGCTCACCTCTACCACACGGGCAGCTACTAGCTTTAGGCCTTTGCTCCCCACCCTCAGGCACATCAGGATTGTGTGAAATGAGAGCACTGGTGTTATTTTCCTTGTCCTCTTTCAGCTCTACGTGCTTTTCAAGGCTCAGATTAGTTCTGCTGGATCTGTCTTTTAACCAGTTCCCTTGGTGAACTGGTTGGCTCTGTACATGCACTTTTGCGAGGGGGCAGGGTTCTTACCTGCAGAGAAGTGACCACAGCACTTGCTCAATAATCCAAAATTGCCCCTGGGTAAAAAAAAAAAAAAAGGTTGCCAATCCCTGGAGTGTGTTGATGGTAAGCTGATTTGCAAATCAAGCCAACACCTTCATTGCTTTCAATGCATCAGCAGCATACGGAAGAGTTTGTTGTTGTATGGGTTGCCTCTATTTCCATAATAAACATGTAATTAAAACATGAAGAATGCAAAGCAAACCTTGTCTAGAGGGAGGCCTATTCTTCCTACTATTGATAGCAGGAGGGTGAGACAAGAGATCTTTTCATGAAGTCTAATTACAATTGCAAACTCTGCCAATGACTCATTAACATTAGAGCCAGGAAAGAACCTTTTCTTATTTTGGACCAGTGCAAATGCAGAGGAAGAGATTAATTGGATTATTTCCCTTTATCCATCTGATCGAAAACAAAAACTAATTGCAAAAGCAGTTTTCACCGACTGCTAATATATGCCAGCTATCGCTATGTTTATAATCTAATAGCTCGAGATGTGTTCATCTCAACATGGTATTTGGCTCATAATATTATAATTTTTATTTATGTACAGGTGTCCTCCCCCCTTATGCGGGTGTTACGTTCCACGCCCCTGAGTGCATAAGTGAAAATCGCTTAAGTGGGGAGCACCTTATAAAAGTCCTCTAGACGTCCATTTTCCCCTGCTCACCAGCTCTGTCTCCTGCTCCCTCTCCAGTCCAGACCAAAATATGTACAGTTTAAGCTTTGAGGCAAGCAGGAGGCTAAAGGACATGCAGGTAAGTGACAGCGGCTGTTGCGCTACCACACAGGTCAGCTGTTAAGTGGGGAGGCTGAGTAGCCTAAACAAAGGCCTGCTGTGCCTCAGGTCTCTTTGGGACTTTCTCTGCCCTCACATACCCTCCAACCATCCCTATTTTCCTAGGACATTCACGGAATTACAGAAGCCATCCAGGTTTCTGATTTCATCCCAGAATGTCCCAGTGATGGCATGCTCTTGCATGAGCCAGCAGCACCAAAAGACATGCATCCTGATTTCCATCAGGGGAATGTTGGAGGGTATGGCATTGTAGCTCCCAAGCATCCTTCTCCACTTCCTTGATCCTGCTGTTTCTCTTGGTTTAGTTTACAGAGTCCATTTTTGTATGGTAAACACAATTGCGTGCTACACACACAACCATTTCCCCCTAATATAATCCCTTTTTGTATGTTATTTTCACTAACGTGTGCCTTTATGCCTGTATTTCCCCTATTTATATAAACACACCATATGGCTGGAGACCTGAATCGCAAAATTCAGAGAAGTGTGGATTTCAAAGGGTGTTTCTCTTTCCATATAGTTTCAGGAATTTTAAATTGCAGAGATTCAACTTCAAACTGTTTTTAATGTTGCATTTTACATTGTTGTGGCCCATCTTGGTGCCTCATGGTGCAGGGTGGGTAATGATCCTCCTCATCATCAAATTTCTAACCCATCTTTAAAATAGCCTCAACAAAATCAACAAAACTCAGCTTAAATATTTAACTGAACTTTAATTATTTTGCCTACACACAAAAACAACTTTTACGATGACATTTCTGAGTACTCATGTTATTCTGAAAAGCCTTTTACATACTCTCAAGTATAAATATTCTGATACAAACCCCTACAAAATTAACCAAAGCCCAGCCCCTTGCGCTCACATTCGGAGGGGTGCAGTGGTGATGCTTGTGTGTTTTACATAGCATGCCTTGGCATTACTAGTTACATCTAGGTCAATGGAGTCAAAGCACTTTTACCGGGAGCAACAGAAACCCTGGAGTGGGGTCATATTGGCCTTTGGTTTTGTATCACCTTCATCAGAGGCAGCACTCATAGCAAGCTGCCTTATACCGAGTCAGAACATTGAACTGTCTTGCTCAGCATTACCTACACTGATTGGCAGCAGTTCTCCAAGGATTCGGACAGGGAACATTCCTAGCCCTACCTGAAGATGCTGGGGACTGAACCTGGGACCTTCTGAACATGAATCAGATGCTCTGCCACGGAGCCACAGCCCTATGCCATAGAGGAAAGCTGATTGGTTAACCTATGTTGGAAATTTCATGGCCAGGGTTTCCTCCAGTTGCAGTGTCCTGCACTGTTTGCTTATAATGATTATGAAGCTATTGGTTGCTTGAGGTGTGGCCGCCAATAATATTAGAGAGGGTTGCGTAGGTAAGGAGTTGGCAAGCTGCAATATCCCATTGTGCTAGCTAAGCTGTCCTGTGCAACTGCGAACAAGTCCATGGATTTAGCCCTTCATACCAAACCAGACTTGACTTTGAAAAACCTTGTGATTCCTGTATTGTAGGGGATTGGACTAGAGGACCTTGGGCTCCCTTCCAGCTCTATAATTTTGTGATTCTCTGAAGCTAGGGAGAGGCTATTGTTGATGAGCAGAAACGTTCGCCATAGTTTTCCAGGCGATCCAACCAAGCTTGCTTTTTCTTCTCATTCCAGGAGTAGGAGTTTGCAGCAGGAGCATCTTACCTTGCGTGCTGTGCTTAATATTCTTTAATTGTTTCATCTACTTCTAGATATATGTTTTATGCATAAATTATACATTTGCCATAATAAAAAAAAAACATTCAGAGTCACATGAGTCAAATTCAGTTCTTAAAGAAAATGAGAGCAAACACAGCAATCAAAACAGAACCCACCAAGCATTCACAGAACTCATAGAAAAGAACATATTAAAACAATATAGATGTATATATTAAGCTTTCGATTAAAACAAATTCTCCGGGTATTTGATATATGCATATTCTATGGTGCGAGGAAAGTTTAATGGTGTTTGGTAACACATGGACTTCTAGTGCATTACCATGACCTGTATACCATCACAAATTTTCCTCCTTCTCAAAAAGAAGTATAGTCAGCACTGGAGAAGACCTGCCCATCCACATCTGTCAGAGTCTTCTGGTGTGTTTATTTTGAGTTGGGAAGGAGATGAAATAATTCCGCTTTTTAAACGGTGATCCTGTTTTCTAAGGCAGCAAGCTTCTTCGACACGGCTTCCAGTGAGCAAGAATTAAGGAACAGTCCTGGGTTATTTCAGAGAAGTGTGGAGATGAAAAGCCTCTGAAAGGGGTTAGGCTGATTTAGATCAGTTGGATTTTTAAAAAAATCCCCCCAAATAGTGCTGGCTCAGACTAGTTGGACACAATGCAAGAAGCTGCATTAGACCCAGTGGTCCATCTAACACAGTACTCCTGAGCTCAGTACTGCTGAGTACTGCTGCATGTTCTGACTCTTATGGGAAATGGGGATTTTAGCAAGAGCCACTTCTTATGCAGAATTGAGAAAGTTGGAAATGCTCAACTTTCCTCTTCTACATCAGTACTGAAGATAGAAAAGCCCATCCTCCTATGCAACTAGGGATGTAAGAAGACATAGTTTCCCGTTCCACCCTTCAATGCATGCGGCAACGTTTCCATTCCACTGCAGTTCATCTTCCACCAAAAGCTATGTTATTGTCTGCAATGGCAAATTTACATCTATACCGCTGTCATTGGGATATTCCACCCCATTCATTTCAATGCAAAGGAAACAAAATGGAAATGGAGAAAGCTAATATAATCTGTTATGTATCACTTCTGGGTGAAATAAACAACAACAAATACTGGCCATATTCACTGGGTTGATTTCTGTTCTGGATATGCAACAAATAAATATCAGCATTTTCTGTTTGTTTCCCTTTTTGTAGGAATTCTCCACCATCCCTATCAACTGATGAACCTACCCGGAAAAACAAGCATTACCATCCGGCCACCTAGTTGATTTCGCAGAGAGTTAGCTCACCCAGTAACCTAAAGTTTATTCCTTCCACAAACACCTCAGCACACACCCAAAATACACTCTTTTCCAAATAGCTCTCAAAGGATATGTTTCCGTGTCAGTGCCTTTATGAGGTTGTCTACCTTTGTCTGGAACTTCACAATGGCTTCACATTCACATGGATCTTCTTCTGAGGAAGAGGAAACAAAGCCATTCAATGAATCATACACTGGCTAGATTCTCCTAGCTGGACATCAGTGGAAGCACTTAGAATCATAGAATTGGAAGGGAACCCAATGCAGGAATCTCAACTAAAGCATCCAAGACAGTTGGCCATCTAACCTGTGCTAAAAACCTCCAAGGAAGAAGAGTCCACCACCTTCTGAGGGAGTCCGTTCCACTATCAAACAGCTCTTATCACCAGAAAGCTCACAGAGGTTTTGGGATAATGGTTAAAGACACATGTACTGCCCTGAATTTCTTGCCAGTAAAGCAGTATATATCCAAGGTGTGTGTGTGTGTGTGTGTGTGTGTGTGTTGACTCTGTTCCTCCATCATTTTTTCTTGGACAAAGGGGTTGTGTTAGATCAGTCTTCTCCAACCTGCTGCTGCCCCCCCCCAGATGGTTTGGACTACAACTCCCATCACCCTCAGCCAACGTGAGCAATGCTCAGGGATTATAGGAGTTGTAGTCCAAAGCATTTGGAGGGCAGCATAAAGGGGAAGGCTGAGTCAGAGGAACCTCCCTTGCTGCTCATACTGCCCCCTGCCAATGGACTGTATGGGTTTGTGGTGTCGCTAGGCTGTACTGCCATAGTAGTCATTGTGCCTCGTGTTGCACATTTATTTGCCAGGGTAGCCAGGGTTAGAGGATTATGCTGTAAACATACCAGGCATGACCTTCCTTACCAACACAGATTTTACTTTGTAGTTTCTTTCCAATTTGATTGATGGTTCTGAAATCGGCAGTGTAGAAGTAATGCTCTCCCACCGGATCTGAGGCAATTTCTTTAAGTTCGTCTTCAACAGCATTGCCTACTCCAACAGCGAACATCTTGTAACCTGAAACAAGCAAGAATTGCTAAACTGCTGATCTGCTTTGTAAAAAAACAACCAAGACTTTTATGCCAGGCTGAGGAACACAACAGTAAACTATGGTTTAGTGCTATGTGAATGAGCAAACATGAGCTGTGGACTCACATGCTGTGCTCTCCTCCTCTGACACAAAGAAGGGATCAGAAATATCTGTGTCCTGGTTTAAACTAAGCAGAGTTTCTAGTTATGTGTGAACTAGAGGCAGGTTTTTATCCTGCCTTGTTAACAAACCACAGCTTGAACTAACCAGTTTCCCCAGTTCAAATCTAACCGAAAAACCTTCCTGGATACTTTAAGCCAGGAAACACACACACTTCTATTCTCCTCAAAGCAAAGTGGGGAGAGGAGGTCAGAATGTATGACCCTGACTCTTAATTTGTTTCCTTCATGTAGCCTTAAACTATGGTTTAGCATTCAGTCTTTAATGCACCACACTGTGGTTTAATCTTTGTTTATAAATATAAACAAAGAATATAACCCTGGTTGCATTTCCTAGTTAGGAAACTACAGTTTTCTGATTTGGATACAGTGGGAAACTCTGATTTAATAAACTTGAAAGTCTTGCAAACTGGTACATAAGAGATAAGGGAGGGAAGGGGAAAGTGAGCACACATGTATAACACTCATTCTTGGTCTACGAAACCATGGTTTATGAGGCTGAGATCATTGGGTTGTATCCAACATTAGACATATTCAGAGGAGACTCATTGAAATGAATGGACCTAGGTTAGTCATGTCCTTTCATTTCAGTGTGTCTGCTCCAAGTATGACTAATGTTGGATACAGGCAATTATATCTTAATCAGGCCATTGCAAAACAGTGGTACTAAATTATGAAAACCTACCTAGTTCTTTGGCTTTCTTGGCAGCATCATTGATGTAATCTTGTGACCGGCCATCAGTGAAGACAATTGCTACCTTGGGGACTCCAGGCCTTGCACCACTGGAGATAGCAAAGGAACTGTCCACTAGGAATTTCAAAGCTTGGCCAGTCATGGTGCCTTTCTCCATGTAAGACATCCTTCTCACTGCTGCTTTGATGTCCTTCTTGTTCTTGTATTGCCCCAGTGGAAATTCCTGCCTTACTGAACTAGAATACTGGACCAGGCCCACATGTGCATTCCTGTCCGACACATCTAGGGAATCCACTATCTGGTTGATGAACCTCTTCACCAGCTCAAAGTTCTCTGGCCTCACACTCTTTGACCCATCAATCAGGAAGACGAGGTCTGTGGCGCCTCCTCCACTGCAGGCTGGGGAGAAGAGAAGTTGGGGGGGGGACCAGAAAGCTGGAGCTAGTCATCTTTTTCATTTAAAGAAACACACTCTTTAAAATGGGGGGGGACCCTTTTCAGTCATGAAGACCACATTCTTTTCTTGCTCTGGGTTCATTCCAGCTGAACCTCAGGTCAACTCAGATTGGCCCAAATCAGTTCAGGATCCAGGATTCAGCTAGACCAGTTTCACAGCCTTAGTTTCTACAGGAGCTCACACAGCCATCTGTATACTCCATCCATGTAAGCAAGAAGTGTTCCCAGAGTTCCAGAATGCATTCGCAACCAGGCAAAAACACTCAAGGTAGTTGCATGGTGGGGTTGGTGAGGGACTGTGTCTCTGAAGGGTATGTGGCCTGGGGAGAGTCTCAAGGGCCAGATACGGGGGGGGGGGGGGCTGAATATAACCCTGGGGCCTGATGTTCCCCATCCCTGTTTTAAAGGCTGAATTTAGCAAACATACATGGCTGGTTAAGTCAACGTTCTTCATTCCAGATATAAGGAAACAGTTGTCCTTCAGATGTAACATGGTCAGAGATGATGGGATCTGGAATCCATCAACATCTGAAGGGCCACAGGTTCCCGGTCCCATATAGTTCCATCAAGCTCAGTGGGTTAAGTTCCTACCCTTCAGCATTTCTCCAATGAGAGTAGGGAAATCCTATTCCATCCCCTCCAACATTTCTCCAATGAAAATAGGGACGTCCTAAGGAAAAGTGGGACATTCTGGGATCAAATCAGAAACTGGGACAGCTTCTGTTAATCTGGGACTGTCCCTGGAAAACAGGGACATTAGGAGAGTCTGTAACTTAGGCCAGTATGATCGATTTCCATGGTAAACAGCAAGCAAGCAGGTCCTAATCCATACGGGTTGCAGTGAGGCTTTAACCCTTTGCCCTCTGTTGCAATCCCAAGCTAGATGGGGGGGCAGGGCCCTTGTTTGTACTAGACCAAACCTTCCATTTGGGCAAATGGGAGCTTACATTCTAATGCAAACAGCAGGCACAGAGATAAAGTGTGATTCAGACAGGACCTTGGGCCAGGTGCAGTGTTAAAGCCATCCGTATAATACAACGCTATGTCAGAGCTCCAATCTGGATCAGGGAGAAGCTGTGTCCATAATTTACATCTCACCTTGTTTGACCCTCTCCGGTCTCTTGAAAATGAGATACAAAGCACAAGAGAGACTCAAAGGCTATGTAAGCATCAGCTCTTGAAAGTACTAATTCTCAGAAAGGAAATGAGGGAAAGTCATTTCGACTGGCATGCGTTCGAAATGTTAGATATTGATCCAGTCTACTTCTCTCTCTTTTGTGTTATGGAACCTTCCCAAATCCCAGCTTCCCAAAACTGAGTTGGTTGTGTTTCAGCTATTGGATACTATTCCTAGTTCAGCCACTGGCTAGGTTTTTCTAAAGTTTACTCAAGGAGTTATACATTTCAGTGGTCACCTTGTTCTGCCAGGGGAAGTTAGTGCAAAGTTTTAAACTGGGCGATCTATACTCCTTGTTGCTTTTACAGCTCTTTGGAGGCCATTGGAGAAGGTTACTTAAGGATTCCAGAAGTGACGCAAGCAATGTAGTTATGCTTGTGGAGGGGGAAAGGAGGTGTTGCAGGGAGTGCCCTGGACAAAGCATTCATGCAGCAGCAGGCCCATGGCCCTGTGAGAATGAGCTGCTTGTATCACCTCATTGCAAATATGGCCCCTAATCCACCCCACTTATGACTCTCCTGGCACATGGAAGTCCAAGGAAATGGTGGTTTAAGAGACACAGAAACAATGTAAGTCATCTAAACTAGAGGAAAGGACCTGGTTCTTGGACAAGTGTCACAATGTGCTCATGGAGGGAGAATATTGCAAGAATATGCAGCTCATGAGTCTTTAGTGCAGAGGCAGCACATGTAGTGCTCTCCAGACTCTCTGAGACTACAACTCCCATCATGTCTAATCTTGGCCATGCAGGCTGGGACTGATGGGAGTTGGAGTCCAAAATATCTGGACTACCTCTAAGGTTCACTAAGAGCATCTTTCCCCCCTGCAAGATTGTGTTCCCAGCACTTTTCCCTGATACAATGCACTTTTTTATACATTGGTGAATTGTAGCGCAACTTTTGGATAAGTGTAAATTTCAAAATGTGAGTTAATTAGTCTCTCACGAAAATGCAAACAAAATTTAATTTCTCCCTCGTTTTTAACTTAAGCCTATTAGATCTAGTCGTTCCCTTGTGGTCTGCAGAGAGCAAATCTTTGCCTTCTTCTATGCAAAAACTCTTTAGGTATTAGAAGAGTACTAACAGGTTCCCCTGTGGCCTTCTCTTCTCCAGCCTAAAACTACCCAATTCTTTCAACCTTTCCTCATATGACTTGTTTTCCATATTCCTGACCATCTTCATTGCCCTCCTCTGAACTCATTCTCATTTGTCCTCAGTAAAGATGGAGCATTTGTGGCTCTTCAGATTTTGTTAGACTACAACTTCCATCATTCCTAGAGAGTGGCCATGCTTGTTTGGGAAGATGGGAGATGGGATTCCAACAACATCTGGAGGACCACAGGTGCCCCATCCCTGCTCTGCAACACCCTTCATAAAGCACGTCATCTACAACCGCTGGTGACCAAAACCACGGTTCTAGATGAACCCCTCAAGCAGTGGCGAGGAGGGATATGAAGAGCAATTAAACAGCCTGCATATTTCGTGTCATGTGTATGCTTGCAAACTTGAGATTAAGATCAGGAAGATGGCATGCTTTCTGAATGTTGAAATTTGCATGCATTCAAAACATTGGCCCATTCTACCAAGCTGAAAACAACATTATTTACCACTGCAGGTTTTTCCATCAGTGTTAAGCGTGAACCCCTCTTTACATGCACAGGTATAAGAAGCCCCTGTACTGACACAGATCTGCTGGCAATCGTGGTCTCCAGTGGCACACAGGTCTGACACAGCTGCAAAGTAATAACATGCAATGTTAAAACATATATTTATACTGGCGGAAAGTACTCGATGTAGCTCAGGAATTCTAAGAAACCAAAGGCGTTGGAACACTTACATCCACTATTTTGATTGCACGGACACAGGTGGCCCTGAGGGTACAGTTGTGCTGATGGGGCTGGCAGCAGCATGAGTGCGAGAAAGGGGTCAGAGAGGAGGTGGGAGGATCTGGATCTGAAGTGGGATGGCATCATTGTTGGGGTGGTGTTGAGGCATTTTGCCTACAATGGAAAAATGACTTGTGCTGCTGCACCCTCCAGATGTTTTGGACCACAACTCCCATCACCCATGACTATTGGCCATGCTGGTGAAGACTGATGGGAGTTGTGGTCCAAAATACATGCTTTGTGAAGCCTTGTGCCAAAAGTGGATTACATGAGTTTCTTTTGCTTGGTAATTTCCAATGTACAATTTTGCTTCTTGCGCTGAGGGTAAGAACAGTCTCCGGCCCTTGGGTTGTATCCAACCAAGTTCTAATTAGAGTAGACCCATGGAAATTAATTTTCCTAAGTTAGTTGTGCCCTTTAATTTCATATATATATATATATATATATATATATATATATATATATATAAAATTAAATTTTCTGTTTTACAATTTAAAAATATTTAACAACCTTAAAATATCAATGACTTCCCTTCTTCTCTTTCCATGGTATATTTTGCATAACATAAATCCCTGCATGTTTTACATAAACTAAAGCATTCAATATTCCATTATTGCATCCATCAAAACTTATTTACACTGTTGAATTTATCTTAATGCTGCCAACGTTTTCAAGTGTGCACAATTTTCTCACATATATTCAATAAACATTTTCCAATCTTCTTTAAACATATGTTCTTCTTGTTCTCTTATTCTATATGTTAGGTCTGCAAGTTGAACATATTCCATCAGTTCAAGTTGCCATTCTTCTTTAGTTGGGATCTAGCTCATTTTCCATTTTGGGGCTAATAAAACATGGGCTGCAGTAGTAGCATACATAAATAACATTTTCTGACACCCGGGAATTTCCGTCTGATTTATCCCCAACAAAAATGACTCTGGTTTTATGTTTTTTTAAAAACATTTTTTTCAATTCATTATGAATTATTTCCCAATACTCTTTTACCCTTTTACAGGTCCACCACATGTAAGTTCCATAAGTTGTGCCCTTTAATTTAATGGGTCTGCTCTGACTAATGTTGGATGCAACCTCTTATTTCGCATCACAAGACTTCCTTAACAACTTACCGCAGAATGCCTCCTGAAACTTCTTGGTCAGCTTCTCAATGACACTGTAGCTCTCCACATAATCCACATGTTCATCCAGAGGTGGGCTGGCCATCTGCCGCAAAGTGTGCATGTCCACACGGCCCACGCCAATGGCAAAAATTTCAATCCCAAGAGCTCGGGCCCTCGCTGACACATCCTTCACCCCATCCTGGGGGCGCCCATCTGTCACTACAATGGCTACCTGTGGGTAAGAGAGTGGCAAAGGACTCTCCAGCTACACACAGTACTGCTTATTCATTCATTTATTTTATATTGTTACTATATTTATATCCTGGGGTTCAGGGAGGCTTGCAACAGTTCAAAACATCAATTACAAAATTCAGAGGAATAAAGCGAACTAGTGAAAATAATAATCAAAATGCATCACCACACATTTTAAATCAGCAGTTAAAGTGCAATTTGCCCTGACAGCAGCCCAGTGGTCAGCATTGTTTGCTCCTTGGTTTCTAAAGGCCTATCTAAAATAGGAAGGTCTGAGCCTTTTGGTGGAAAGAGAGCGAGGAGGAAGACAATCTCACCTCCCTTGGGACGGAATTTCACAGTATGGAAGCAGCTACAAAAAAGGCTCGCTCTTGTGTCACCACCAACCAGGCTTCTGATGTTGATGGGACCAAGAGATAGTGCTCACTTGAGCATTTTAGCACCTAGGCAGGTTCCTATAGGGGGATATATTTCAGGCAGCCAGGTCACAACTTTCCTAATTCTGCCTTCACTTGGATGGCATATATCCTGAAGCACATGGGTCAGCAAACTAAGGCCCGCGGGCTGGATTAGGCCCAACTGCCTTCTGGATCCAGCCCACGGACACTCTGGGAATCGCCAGAGCACATGCTCTTTCCCTCTCCCTCCCTCTCCCTCCCTCTCCCTCACACAGCGGCGGCAGCGCCTCCTCCCTCCCTCCCTCCACCTGGCTTCTCCCTGCCCTGCCTAGAGGAGGAAGGGGGCTGGGCTTTGTTGGCACCAGCAGCAGCAGCACTTGAGCGACCGCCATTTTAAGCAGCCCCTCTCCTGAGCCCTTTCATGCGCCGCTCATCATCCCACTGCTCCCGCTGCCAATCCCTGCCTCTCGCAAGACACAGGTAAGCAGCCACCAGGGCTCGTGGTGCTCTTGCAGCATTTATTTATTTTTTCAAAATATAGTCCAGCCCCCCACAAGGTCTGAGGGACAGTGGACTGCCTTCCTGCTGAAAAAGTTTGCTGACCCCTGCTGAAGCACATCATGCTATCAGAGTCAGTTCTTCTACTCAGCTTGCTCAACCTTTAATTGGAACCAATAATAATCCTATTTCCTATAAACAATCAATCACAGAAGTTATTGAGTCTACACCACCAGGAACACACACCATTGCATATATTATGAAAGAGCTATATTTAGTTTTTACAGCAGAATATTTTACAAATCCAACTGTGCATGTGAGGGAGTGCAGGATTCAGCCTTAGTAACCTTTGGAGACAAGAGAAATAGTCATATGTTGGAATTTTATGTTATAAGAATTAGAAATGAGAGCAGCCACATGCTTTCAGGATGCCAATGGTTCACCAGATAGAAATGCAAACACGAGTTAAACCTGCTTAAACCAAAGACCCCACGTTGCTCAGTCACTTTGCTTGTTTAGTCTTCGGTCACGTGGTTTTTGGTTTCTTGGAAAGTGTGTTTATAAGCCTTCTAAGTCCTCCAGACAATATTTACCTTGCATATGTGTATATATATATATATATATATATATATATATATATATATGCACTCAGACACACAGCTTTAAAGCATGGACCTGTGCCTACACAGCATGGGACAAAAGCTAAGTGTGAATCAGTTTTGTGCAGTCAGTGGACTAGGGGTCTAGGCTAGTCCCCTAAAGTATTAAAGCCTAGCACCTTCTTCCGAAAGCCCCGGGAAGCTTCTGCCCAGCTTAGGGAGGGAGGTGCAATGCTCATGTGTGTGATGTCAGAACATCACACGCATGATGCCGGGGAGCCCCTAATCATCCTCACAAGCTGGAGCCTCTGGCTCTAACTGTTCCCCTCTGAAAAATTTCACTGCATGCCACTATTGTAGATGAACCCTTAGTTTCAAGTTGAAAGCAACTGGCAGGGGAAGGGTTATGCACTCTTTCCTGTCCTGTCCCTTCTTACATGCAAAATCACACTTCCCAAAGGCACTTTGCGTTGTATTCAAGGCTTCATCGCATATGGCTACAATGTACCCTGTATTTTGCTCCTTAAAACTGAACAAGGATCATAGCACTCAGTGCAATGCCCCTTGTTTGCCAGAAGAGAGAGCCATTTATTTAACAAATTGGGTGGGGGAGACACGGAGTAGAGGGGCTTCCCTTGCACACAGAATGTGTGTGAGAGAGAGGTGGGGGTGGTTTTCAACTTGTCGATTAAAACAAATCAAAATCAGCCTTCCACAATATGACAGACTTTTACACAGCAGTTTCAACCCGACCTCCAAAAATATTGCAATTTATTTACTATTTATTTAGAGCATGTGCCATTAAGCTTTCCAGAGTGGCTTACAGAGTTAAAATGAGACTTCCCCCTGCTTGCTGGCTTACGTGATTAAAAAAAAACACAACACGTAAAGGAAAAGGGGGGTGGAGGGAAGGGAATCAAACTCTTGGCAGGTCAGGTAAATCTGGGTCTTGTCACTTTTTCCAGTTCATTTTGGCACAGGTCTGAAAACAGACCAATTTTTTAAAGAAAGATTTCTTCTGGGTGTTGAAATCTCATGCAGCTAAGGAAAAAGCCAACTTCCTTCACATCCTACAACACAGGAAAAAGCAGTTTACTAATAGTATATCCACATTCATCATAAGGACTGTAGCCTTCTAAGGAGCTGCCTTCCCCCTGGATCTTTCCAGGATATTCCTTCCGTAAATTTCCATCTATCTCTTTATAGCCTTTAGGTAAAGGAGCCACAAAGTTCAAAGAGCCTGTTCAATTTCTTATGTAAGCCTATGTTTGCTATGGGCGTAGGTCACATCCATGCCATACTTTTAAAGCCCTCTTATACCACTGTAAGGGACGCAGGTGGCACTGTGGGTTAAACCACAGAGCCTAGGGCTTGCCGATCAGAAGGTCAGCAGTTTGAATCCCGGTGAGGGGGTGAGCTCCCGTTGCTTGATCCCTGCTCCTGCCAACCTAGCAGTTTGAAAGCACATCAAAGTGCAAGTAGATAAATAAGAACCGCTCTGGCAGGAAGGTAAACGGCGTTTCCGTGCACTGCCCTGGTTTGCCAGAAGCGGCTTAGTCATGCTGGCCACATGACCCGGAAGCTGTATGCCGGCTCCCTTGGCCAATAAAGTGAGATAAGCACCGCAACCCCAGAGTCGGTCACAACTGGACCTAATGATCAGGGGTCCCTTTACCTTTTATACCACTGCAACAGTCATGGATTCCCCCAAAGAAACCTGAGAGCTATAGTTTCTTAAGGGTACTGACTTTACAGACCTACAATTCCCAGAAAGCCCAGCAACCTACAGTTCCCAGTATTCTCTATTACTGTTAAAGTGGTATAAGTGTATTTTAAATGTATGGTGCAGCTGTGAGCATAGAAACCATGCCAGAAAATGGGGCCAGGGGAGAGACAGAGAGAGAGTTGGCAACAGCAGCTTGCCACAGTGGCTTTGTTCTATTTCCACTGTTGGAGGAAAACAGCAAAGTCAAATGCAATACTCTCTGAGCTAGCCAGAATTCCACAGTCCCATTTGCCCTCACTGCTGTATGACTCTGCAAAGCCCCCCAAATTGATTTGGGGCCCGGATCTGTATTGGTTCATCCCTGGATTGTCCCAGGTCATGTTGGGGCTACTGCAAAACAGTAGATTGAACCCTGAACCAGATTGCGGGGGTGGAGGGGAGAGCTGTGCATAATCCTGCTCTTTAAGTTTAAGGTGGACTTGAAATGAGCAGCCTTTCAAATAGAGGATGCCTCTGAACAGAGGGCTGTCCTCTCTAAAGTAGAACACATGGCCAACCTGGCAGACACAATTCTGTATATTGTCTTTTCATAAAACGATATTATGCTAAACCTAATGGCTTGGAATACACTTAATCCATATCACCGTGAAATTTAAACTCGAGGGGTTTAAAGGCAAGGGGTTGTCAGCCGAGATGGGGCTCTTTTGCTCTCCTAAAGGACAAAGACCTCCACAGTCCACAGAGTTTCTTTCAGCAAGCTAAAAGGCCCCTTCAACTGTATGTAACAATATCTTTATTTCGGCACCTTTTCTATCCCTGTAAAAAGGGAAAATAATACAGTCTGGGAATGTTTCGCCCTGCAGGTTATGAAAACCTGAAAACAGACTGGAAGCTGCTTTCCACGTTTCAAAAATAATCCACCTAAGAATCTGCTCTTGGGTTTCACCAAAATGCAGACAACACATCACTCTTGTTTAGGTTCAAGTATTAAGGTTTTATGGAGCAGGGATGGCACAGGAAGAATCTGGCATCACCAAAATGGACATAGAAGGCAATGAGCTGGATGCAGATTGAGCTGAACTTTGTTCTTATTAAAATCAACATGACTGAAGTTTAACTCAGCTAACTTGGAGCTGCGTCTAGTGTTAGCCATATGCTCAGTGTGAGCTCACTGAAATTAATGGACGTGGAAAACTTAGGTCCATTAATTTCAGCAGGTCTACTCCATGCAAAGCTTAGTCTCATAGAGAATCACAGAATCATAAAACTGCAGAGCTGGAAAGGACCCCAACGGTACTTAGTCCAACACCCTGCAATGCAGGAACTACAGCTAAGGAATCCATAACAGGTGATCTTCCAACCTCTTCTTAAAAAAACCCAGTGAAGGAGAATCACCACTTCTGCTTCACTGAAGGTTGAATGGCCATCCAGAGAAGGGCTTTGCATGCTGAATGTCCCAGGTTCAATAAGCCGCATCTCCAAGGCAGTACTTCCAAGAGATACTCCTCTCTTAAATCCTGGAGAGCCACTGCCAGGAAGTACAGACAACATTAGCCTAGATCAGGGATCAGCAGACTTTTTCAGCAGGGGGCCTGTCCACTGTCCCTCAGACCTTGTGGGGGGCCGGACTATATTTTGGGAAAAGAAAAAGAAAAAGTACGAATTCCTATGCCCCACAAATAACCCAGAGATGCATTTTTTTAAAAAGGACACATTCTATTCATGTAAAAACACGCTGATTCACAGACCATCCGCGGGCCGGATTTAGAAGGCGATTGGGCCAGATCCAGCCCCCGGGCTCTAATTTGCCTACCCATGGCCTAGATGGATTGATAGTCTGATTCAGTTTAAGTCAGCCTCCTGTGAGACATAATTGAAGAGTTGTATCCCATCTCTTGTCTTCCAGAATAAAATGTGTCAATACTCACTGTGAAGTTGTTAGAGTAACTGCCACACTTTTAACCAGTGCTTTTCTTCTAGGGGGAAAAAAGATGCTGTGTACCCTTGAGTACCCCCAGAAAGAAAGAAAAAGCACTGGTTGTATCTATAACTCAGCTATAAAAAAAGCCACTTACACTACATTAACTTCACAATGCAAGACCCTTGCTACATTAAATGAAAAGCGAGCCAGGAGCGATGGCATTATGGCAGCAGCATTACTTCTGAAATGACAGTTTTGCTTAAGAAGTGACTTGAGTTTGTACTGAGTGGAAGTAAAAATAAATAAATAAAAGCATTTCTGGGCAACCACATGTTATTCCTTCTATCAAGTTCCCTTTCCTCTCATAACCAAAGCTGACTCTTCTCCAGCCAAGGAAGCACAGAGCCAGCTGCAAAGTTGTTCTCCTACTCCCCAAGTGAATTAAAGACGGCAATTAAAGAAGGCAATGATCGTATGAGTGATGGCAACTGGTGCAATTCCCATCTCATCCAAAGGATAATAATAATAATAATAATTTATTTTTACCCCGCCCATCTGCCATCCATCCAGTTGTTTATTTCCTTGACATCTGATGGGAGGGTGTTCCACAGGGCAGGCGCCACTACCGAGAGGGCCCTCTGCATGGTTCCCTGTAGTTTTGCTTCTCGCAGTGAGGGAACTGCCAGAAGGCCCTCGGAGCTGTACTTCAGTGTCTGGGCAGAACAATGGGGATGGAGACGCTCCTTCAAGTATACTGGGTCAAGGCCATTTAGGGCTTTAAAGGTCAGCACCAACACTATGAATTGTGCTTGGAAATGTACTGAGAGCCAATGTAGGTCTTTCAGGACCAGTGTTTTATGGTCTCAGCAGCTGCTCCCAGTCACCAGTCTAGCTGCTACATTCTGGATTAGTTGTAGTTTCCAGGTCACCTTCAAAGGTAGCTCCATGTAGAGCGCGTTGCAGTAGTCCAAGTGGGAGATAACTAGAGCATGCACCACTCTGGTGAGACAGTTTGCAGGCAGGTAGGGTCTCAGCCTGCGTACTAGATGGAGCTGGTAGACACAGAATTGCCTCCATGGACAGCTGTGAGTCCAAAATGACTCCCAGGCTTTCGCACCTGGTCCTTCAGGGGCACAGTTACCCCATTCAGGACCAGGGAGTCCTCCACACCCACCTGCCGCTGTCCCCCAAGAACAGTACTTCTGTCTTGTCAGGATTCAACCTCAATCCATTAGCTGCCATCCATCCTCCAACCACCTCCAGGAGGTCTCTTTTCTAGCCAAGTTGTCCACTGCTACCTCTGCTCCACACTTTAATTTTAAAAATGGCAATGGTGGCAGCAGCTTCTCCCTATCCACTCAAATGCACACTGGATAAATGGTCAGGAGCATCCCAAAGATTTCAGGGCCCAAAACTGAGATCTAGGGGTGACCCCTCAATGATGTCACTTTTTACTATCTAAATTCTGCACAACTAAGATTTGTGGCATCCTTTTCTTATGCTAGAGGTGGTAGACAAATAATATTGGGGGAAGAAAGGGAAATAATGAATGAATGAATGAATGAATGAATGAATGAACAAACAAACAAACGAATGGCAAATAGGCATCTCTTGTAAGCCAAATACATATTTGTATATACAACACCTTCTGGACAAAAATCAACCTAAACATTTCAGGATCAAGGAGGTGGGGAAATAGAATCAGAATGGTACAGCAGACCTCACTGGGGCAGAGTTTTTATATCATATTCAAGAGAGCAACTTGATGCCAATCTGTGTAAAGGATATCTTGGCTGCCTGTTTCCAAATCATGGGGTTGTTCTTCTGCTCCTGTCTTGCAAAGCAAGAAGCTGGCAGGGGTGGGGGCTAATACCTGGAAGTCTCAAGAGGGGAGAATTCCTGCTGCGTTCATGTTCAGCTTTCGACCTTCCCATAGGCATAGTTCCCCTCCCTGGGCACAGTGCTCCTGATTACAAGTCACTCTCTTCCGCAGCTGGAGAGCTGGAGGGCTTGTTTTGTGCATGTTTCGCATGCCAAAGGGTTCAATCCTTGGTGTCCCCAGCTAGGGTTGGGAATGTCTTCTGCCTTAAACCCTGGAAAGCTGCTACCAGTCAGTGTACGCAATGCTGAGTCAAAGTAGCTGATATAAAGTAGCTTTCTGTGCTCTTGTTTTTGGTAGCTCACCCTCACAGCACCAAAATAGCCTGACTTAGCCCTGTGTAAACAGCTACTGTTTCATCTTATCCCATTTCCTAGCTTATCACTTCCCCATTTTTTCTCACCTCCCTGTACTCGTATTAGGTTTTTCCATGATAACTTGTACAGAACTACTTTTTAAAAAGAAGTCCAAATGCTAATTGGAAGACTGGACTTAAAAACAACCATTGTGCCCAGAAAATCATCTCTTTGAACTGCTCAGATGAGCTCATCAGGGGGGTCTTTTTTGGACAGATTCTGTGGATATCTGAATTTAATGACATTCCAGAGCTCCACTCAAATGTCTTTCCAGCTTTTTCAGAAAGCGAAACATGAAGCTGCCCCGTGCCGAGTTGAGCTGCTAGTCTACTCCAGTGATAGAGATAGGCTCTCAGATATTGTTGGACTCCAGTTCCCATCAGCCCCTGCCAACATGGCCAATGGTCAAGGATGATGGAAGTTGGAGTTCAGTGACTTCTGAAGGGTCAAAGACTCCACACCCCTAATTTGCTCCATTGGCATGGAGATGAGGTGAAACGCTTGCCCAGCACCTGCTACCTGTGTTTGAATGTGAAGCCTTCCTTCTGCACACAAAGCACATGTTCTACCGCTGAACTATGACCCACCCCTAACAAAACTGGTATTCCATGGAAGGGTCACATTAAAAACCCAAGCAGAGCTGTGGCCTGACTTAGGCGTACTTTTTACCTTGTTCTACATAAGGGCCATTCTGATAAGAAAAACCCAGGTTGCTTTTGGCAAGGGGAGTCTGCCTGGAGCTGAAATTAGGAAATAATTGGATAAGCAGAAAACAGAAGTGGTTCTGCATATTTTGTTTTATTTTGTCAGCTGTCTCTCCAAGCTTATATTTTTCAAAAATGTACAGAAAGCAAAGTTCATCCTAGAAGTTGCTTGCTGCTTTCTTTATTTTTTTCTTTTTCTACTTACAACTTCATTTTTTAAATTTATATACCACTTAAACCCACAATTTCAAAGCAGTGTAGAGTAGGGATACAGCCAGGAATGAGCAAATGTGTCAATTTCAGTTCCAGTTTTTCCTTTTCCCATTCTTAAGCTGCATTCTCCACATTGCCACACCAGTATGTGATTCTTAAAAATAAAAAAGAAGTCCTCATGAAAAGTCATCAGGATTTTAGTCCTCCTAGTATACAGGTTTTTGCAAAGCAGTTCCCCCTAAAATAATGCATTTATCCCAGTGCAGGAATTATTATACACATTGCTTAAGTGGAGAACTTGATTGCAAAATTCAGAGAAGTCCAAATGTTGAAATATGGATGCGTTTTGGTTCCCATATTGTTTCAGGAACTGTGAATTAGCTAGGTTCACTTTTAAATCCAAACTGAATCAAATTTCTCCCCCAGCTCCAGATACAGCATAAAATCAGCCCCCTCCATATCTGCCTAGATAGCCTGCTTATTCCATTTGGCAGGAACTATTTATCCAAGCTTATATTTTTGCAAGAAAGGTTAGAAAGCAAACAGGAGGCACAAGGGTTCTTGCAAGTCCACACAGTTTCCATACCTTGTTAATCTCTGGAGATCTCACTCGGGCGCCTTCGACCTCACTGAATGCTCTGTTGATTGCAAACTGGATAGCCAGGCCTGTCATGGTCCCAGTGGAGAGTGGTTCGATCTTGCGAACAGCTTGCAGCAGGCTGGCCTTGGTACGGTGAGTCTTGAGGGACAATTCATTCTTGACTGCACTGGCGTAGTTGATGACGCCAACCCGTGTAGCATTTGGTCCCACATCAAGTGACTCAATGACCTTGGACAAGAAGACCTTGACTTGCTCAAATTCATTGGGGCGCACACTTCGGGAACTGTCAACGATGAAGAGCAGGTCTGTAGGTCTTGTCCTACATTGGACACCTGCGTGAAAAAATGAAGAGCCCTTTTCAGCCTTGAGAAAACTAAATTTGGAAGTGAGCTCCACTGAGCTCAGTAAGGTTGAATCTCAGGTATATAGATGGCACAGGATTGCAATCTTAGCATCCTCCTTATTTTAAAACCTTATTTCATTTTGCTACTGTTCTATCCAATAAATAAGTGAAATCAAGAGAACTGGGATAAATCTTTGCAATCTTTCAGACCATCATCTGAAAGGTGTACTAAAACCAAACACTTGGACATGCTTTGGGGGAATTTCTAGGGTTGTCTTTCTTGGTTGTAAGCATTGCCTATGTTCAGATGACATCATATGGTATCATCATGAAGGAGTGAGGAAGTGACCTGGAAGTGACCACCATACTTTACCATCCCTGTAACTAAGTTAGCTATGTCTGTCACCCATGACCATTACAGGTATCCATGTTCAGAGGAAGGATTCTTCATAGCAACCTGTGTCTGGGGAGAGGAGATTGCTATCAACTTAGTGCACTCCTGAGAAGCCAGAGACATCTGTCTGGCCCCTTCTGAAAGCAAAACTCCCTTACCTGATGCATGCAGATGATTTCCTACATTGGAAATGTTCTTATTGCTTTTTGATCACGAGACTAGTCCCCCAGAAAAGCTAAAATGTGATTAGAGGATACTTTGTGCTGATCATCTAGAGCGGAAGGGATGGGGAATTGGTGGTCTTCCAGATGTTGTTTGACCCCAACTCCCATCAGCCCTACCCATAGGCACCAACTCCTAGAGGTTGAAGCACTTTGGGCTCCCCAGTATTGATTGATTGATTGATTGATTGATTGATTGATTGATTGATTGAGGGGGTTAGGCTGGCCATTGTTCAGAGGGCAGAGGAGGGTGAGCACAGAGACGGGTGTGGCGCAGCTTCAGTGACTCGTAGCTCCTCCTGCTGCTGTTGCCCTTGTGTGGCAGGGGAAGGGGGGGATGGGAGCCGCTGGCCACTGGGACTGTGGTGCTGCTGCGTTTGGCTCCACCCCCTGACTCCTCGCAACGTTGCACGCATGACTCATGTCAGGCCCCCACAATCTTACTTAAAAGTTGGCGCCTCTGGCCCTGCGCAGTACAGCCAATAGGGATGATGATAGGTATAGTTAAGCACTATCTGGAGAGCCAAAAATTCCACACTGGAAGCTGTTTTATACTGAGTCAGACCATTGATCCATCTAGCTCAGTATTGCCAGCACCAACTGGCAGCAGCTCTCCAGGATTTCAGACCAGAGTGTATCTTCATCCTACCTGGAAATGTTGGGGATCAAATTGAGGAACTTCTGCATGCAGGTATTGGCATTTTCCTAGTAACAATATGCTAAGCACTGTGGAATGTTTCTGGGAAGCCCAAGAAACAGCAGGTCAGGAAGGCAATGGAATCACTGGTATTCAATGCAAGATTGACTCTGAGATAACAATTCCCTTTAGGTATCTCGCCTGGGACGCGGGTGGCGCTGTGGGTAAAACCTCAGTGCCTAGGACTTGCCGATCATATGGTCGGCGGTTCAAATCCCCGCGGCGGGGTGAGCTCCCGTCGTTCGGTCCCAGCTCCTGCCCACCTAGCAGTTCGAAAGTACTCTTAAGTGCAAGTAGATAAATAGGTACCGCTTTATAGCGGGAAGGTAAACGGCGTTTCCGTGTGCTGCACTGGTGCTGGCTCGCCAGCTGCAGCTTCGTCACGCTGGCCACGTGACCCGGAAGTGTCTCCGGACAGCGCTGGCCCCCGGCCTCTTAAGTGAGATGGGCGCACAACCCTAGAGTAGGACACAACTGGCCCGTACGGGCAAGGGTACCTTTACCTTTACCTTTATCTCGCCTGGTAGCCACTTATGGACATAGCCTACACATGTCTATCTGCTGCATCCATGGTTTTCTGGATGAGACAATTAGCTGTAACAACTGTGTGAACGGAAATTCTTTTTCAAGGATGGTCATGCTCAAACTACTCACATTCCTGCTCTCAGATCCCTTGTTTGAACTGCTATTGTCATTCAAAGAATAGCCATAGGAAGATGCCTTATACTGAGCTCAACCATGGGTCCATGTAGCACAGTATTGTCTACACTGACTGGCAGTGGCTCTGCAGGGTTTGTCTCCCAGCCCTACCTGGAGATGCTGGGGATTGGGTGTAGGACTGTCTGCATGTTCTGCCACTGAGCAAAGCTATTTCTTTTGCCCTATTGAGCTAAGGAGAAAACAAATGGCCAGGTGATTTGTTACGTCCTACCATGGAGAAGATGGAGAAGATGTACCTGCTAGTAAGCCAGGTGTCCCCCATCTTATATTTGTGCATCTGGTACTTTCTGCCTAAGTGCAGAACCATACTCAGATGTCTTACTGAATCCCAAAAAAAAGCTTACTTCCAGGGAATGGGGGTTAGGACTGCAACCTTAGCTGAATGACTCGTTTCTCAAAAGATGTTCTTCCCCACAGAAGCACCTGACTCACTCCAATCAAGAATGAAATCTCTTGTACTGGGATCTGAAACAAGCAAAGTCTGAGAACAAAACAGATGCTTGTGTGTACTAGGAAAATGAATACTGCTACTCTGTTAGATCTAGGTGTGTGTGCCTTCATCTCAGCTGCTAATTCCAAAATAAAGAAGCAAGCAGTAACAGAGAAGAGAGCCTTGCAAGTGTCCTTGCCCTAGGAGAATATCCACACTCTCAGCCAACCAACATGCATGCATTTTCTCACAATTCGCAAACCTTGCTATGCTTTAATTCCCTTCTCTGTTGCCCCAGCCTGCTGGCCCAGGTGGAATGGAAAGGACTGACAAGCTCATTTGCATCACTTACCTCTCAGCTGAGGAGGGACCCCATTAACTCCCTGCTCCTGAAAAAGCAGCAGCACAGAGATCAGGAAGCCGGGGAAAAATGCTGTCATGATGGCTGGACTGAAGGCAGAGAGTAGAGTGGCAGGCACCGGCTTTGGCCCTGAGGTATTAATGGGCCACTCCTCAGAAAGGCAGCAAGCCAACCTATAGCATGTGTGAATGATGGGGTGGAGGTGGGAGGGAGGAGATTGAATGGAAGTGTGGAAGGACAGATATTGACAAGGAAAAGTCCCTTGGCCCTTCCCATTGCCTGGACTTGCGACAACAGCCTCATTGCTTGACTAGGAAGTGGGAAGTAGTAAAAGCGACCAGAAAGGGACCTGGAATGCAGGGAATTTGAGACCTGAACAGTGAAGCCAGTCACATCCATCTGAAGGGAAAGGGCTTTAATCTGCCAATCACCAGCTTCAATCTAGCCTGGGGTCTGCCACAGTAAGTAAACTGTCTCCAGCGAGTTGGGCCAAAGACTTTTCCGCGTTCAAGACCACTAAGGATGGGGACAGGATGGAGTTGGGTGGGTTGCATAAAAATAGCTGCTTGGGCACACAGAATGTTAGGGGAGGGAAATGTAGGCATGAAGAAACAGCAGTTTTCTTATTAATTCTGACTAGGAGGTCTCAAAAGGAGAGCGTGTGGATTTTTCACAATGGGGAGGTTGGGGGCGTAAGACGATACAGGAATTAGCAAAGGAATCGATTTGCATGACACTTTCCTACGTTAAAGACATTCTTTCAATGCATTGTGAAGCAAGGGAAGAGAGGGGGAGGAGGAAGAGACAAGACAGAGAGCTGCCTAGAAATATGCCTCTTTCATACAACAAAAGGAAGCGAGTATATATGAACCCCTGAAGCAAAGCGAACAACCTCTGGTCTATTCTGTAATCCATTTCCCATTTAGAATCCATTTCATGGAAAAAGCATGTAGTCTGTTTCACTAGAAACCACAGGTGATGTTACAATTACGGTGACCCATACTTGAGTCATATCGTGGTATTACTGTCATGTGCTCTACATGGGGCTGCCTTTGAAAATGACATGAAAAACCTCCCGAATAATGCAGCCAAGCTGGATATCAGAAGCATGTTAATACTTTATTAAAGGGATTGGAGAAGTCTGAGGGCCACATTCCCTTCTGGGTGACCTGCCAAGGGCCACATGCCAGTTGTGGGTGTGGCCAGAGGCAAAAGTGGGCATAGAAACGACTTAAATTTTCCATTTATGCACAAGGATGTTATCTGTATGGACTCAAACGCCTCTCCCCACACCCCATCCAGGCAATGAAGAAGCATTATCAGAGTTCAAGGACACCTTCCAGCCAGGTGAGGAGGGTGCAAAGTAGTCATGGCTTCGCTCAAAGAATCCTGGAATGTTTGTTAAGTGCTGTGAGAGTCATGAGGAAAGCCCTGTTCTTCTCCCAGAGCTGCCTCACCATCTGTTGGCTAGCCCTGGTTCCAGAGTCTAGAACAGGGTTTCCCAAAACTTGGGTCTCCAGCTGTTTTTGGACTACAACTCCCACCATCCCTAGGTAGCAGGACCAGTGGTCAGGGATGATGGGAGTTGTGGTCCAACAACAGCTGGAGACCCAAGTTTGAGAAACCCTGGACTAGAACATACAGACCTTCTGGGTATATGTGCAAATATTGGAGGTGACTGTGGCTTCCAGAGGTTGTTGGACTCCGACTCCCATCAGTCCCAGGCATCAGAGTCAATTGTCAGGGATGATGGGAGTTGTAGTCCAGCAACATCTGGGGCAGCACAGGAAAGTCATTCCTGCCTTTACATCCACTGTTTTAAAAAAAAATGTTTGTGTACCACTGTGTTTGTATGATGTAAGATGCTTATTCCAATAACATGGAAATAGCACTTGTTCCCAAGTAATAAAACTCTACCAACATAATCAGGGAACAAAGTGAACTCAAAATGTACAGAACAAGTGTCCCTATTCCAGAACTATATTATATATATTTTTCACCAGCTGTCATGCACACAAAGCTCTTTTGGTACCGAGAGTCCATATGGCCATGAATAGGGTTCATTCACATCCTTCTATAAATGAAGTCTCTATGGCTGTTCTCACTGTGAAAAAGAAGTCTGAGGTTTCTCTGTGTCATTTTTCAGCTAATGAGCAAAGAAAGATAAATACATCGCTGGGAGTGGGGCCTTTTTGCTAGCACCATTTGTGGTATACAAGAAACATTAAAGCTTTCAAAACAAAGTAAGTCGGGAGGGGCGATACAAGCGTGCATCTGTATTTATAGATGTGTGGAGGGGCAAAAGCATGTTTGGTATCAAAATATGAAACATAATTTCCCCCCAGGGCTTCAAAGGCCAAGCACATTGCATCCAATTGACCTAGAAGAAAATGTGCATTCTTGGATTCTTCCCAAGTCCACTTGAAACAGAGATGTATGAGCTATTGAGGGATTATTATGGGGAAAGACTCCCACTCCACACGCCATTCTGCAGAGTCCTAAGTGGCTATTTTACAGCCCCATCCTATAAGTCTTCTGCTGCCTTAGCACCTGTATCAGACTCTGTTTATTTAGTATCATCAGCCTGCCCACCAACTGAGATAGGCTTCAGAGTGGGGTAGTCGTAAATACATAAGAAGAGACCTGTGGATCAGGCCAACCTAGTCCAGCATCATGTTCTCCAAGCAGCCAACCAGATGCCTATGGAAAGCCCTCGAGCAGGATCTGAGTGCAACTGTGCTCTCCCCACTTGTAAATTCCCCATAACTTGTTGTGGCGTTTGCCCTCATATGTGTGTGACATCATACTGGGTTCATAGGGAAAAGGATTAACTAATTGTAAAATGACTAACCAATGGGAACCCAGGGGGCAGAGTTAACTGTGTATAAGTTTTATGCACAGAGGTTTTTAGGGAGTTAGAGTTGTTGAGAAGACCGCCTGGAGTTAGACGAGACAGAGAAGATAAGTCTGTGGGTTGGGCTAGTTTGGTGTGAGAGAGTGAGAGAATTTGTTAAGAGGAGTCAGTCAAAAAGTTGAGATAATCAGTCAGAAGGTATTAGGAAGGTATAGGCTGGTAAAGAAACTAAAGTTACGATACCGACAGGAATATTATCTGAGAAACCATAAACTTGTTAATGTTTGTAAAATAAACTTAGTTTTTTTGGTTCACTTTTAACAACTGACTGGACTCTGTGTTTTACCAGAGAGTAACTGGTTGGTGGCAGCGGGGAAGTGAGCACAGTGGTGGCACAGGGATCAATAGACCGTTAAACGTCCGGGGACCCTGTGTAATCGCCACACTTGTACTCAGAGGCATACTTCCTCCGAAAGTGAAGGTAAAACACAATCATTGGAAGCCTTTTCCTCCATGAATTTGTCTAATGCTTACAATTCTGTTTGTTTCTCTCTGCTGCTCTCTAAATTTTCCATATAAAAGTATGGAATGCAACAAAATTGAAATTTGGAATGATGCATAGGCTATATGAGAGAATAGTGTACATGGCTCCCCCTGCAATCCAGGAATATTCATCTACCCCAGGCGCGTCCAAATTCCAAGAGACTGAGATCTACTCCAAGTATTAAACAAATTGGCAGTGATCTACCCATTGTTGGAGTTGTTGAGCTTTTCTGGGGGAGGATTGCCCAGAGTTGAGTTTTTTGGGGGGAGGATGGTCAAATGACTGCCCAGTTAACAGGAAGGCTGGGCTGGGTGTCATTCCGAGCCGCCTACCATATAGCACCGGGGGCAGGAGGTGACAACATTCCTTGCCCACTTGATTTAATCCCGTGATCGACAAGGATCACCCCAGCGATCTACCTGTCAATCACGGTCAACCAGTTGAACATCTCTGATCTACCCAATACAGCAGGCATAGGCAAACTTTGCCCTCCAGATGTTTTGGGACTACAACTCCCATCATCCCTGACCACTGGTCCTGTTAGCTAGGGATGCTGGGAGTTGTAGTCCCAAAACATCTGGAGGGCCAAGTTTGCCTGTGCCTGCAATACAAGGATTGAACCTGCAACCTTGGCATTATCAACACCATGCTCTAACCAACCATAGGTATGCAGCCAATCAGCATTCCACACAGCCCAATTTGGCTTGGCCCTAGTTAAAATACTAGGCTAACAGGAGTGCACAGGCATATAAAACAGACTTCCACAGAAGTGGCTGGAATTTGTGTGACATCAAAAATGTGCAGACACGCATGAGGCTTCATTTGTACGTATCCACAGGCAGTCTCCACATGAGAGTCCATAAACCCATTGAACTCCCGCCATGTTCACTGCTACCTGCATCACACAAACTCTCCCAACGTCTATCACTATAAGGAAATGCCCCCCTCCCACCCCCAAAAAAAAAAATCATGGAACAAGGCAGCATTATTTGCACAAGTATGGATGGGGGACACAAAGTAGCCCAGCATTGGACCACACACAATGTGGTCTGATAGGCTGATAGGATAGGATATGGACTTACCTTGTTGATATCAGAAGTGCATTTTGGTTTCTCACTTCTCAGCTCTTAAGTTCCGTTAAGTTCTGTTCTTTACATTGCCGTGTGTGTGCACACGCACGTGTGCGTGTGTGTTTTAAAAAGGTCCTCATTAAAATTCACCTGCACTTCAGAACAAATTTCTTCTAACAATTTTTTTTGTATGCAATTTTGCTTAATATGCACATTTTTGCAAAGCAATTTTCCCCAATATAATGCATTTCACATACTGTTTTCACTAATATATGCAAGTTATGCACCCTTGATCCTAATATATGCATTTTAACACAATAATTGACCAGAGAAGTGCATTGCAAAGTTCAGAGAAGCGTGAATTCCAAAGGATGGCTGTGCATTTTGTTTTGGAAAGTACGAATTAGGAAATTTTAGAAGGAACATCATCTTAGAAGGAGCACCAGGCTGCAATCCTAAGAACACTTGCTTGGGGAGCAGACCAAAACTCAACAGACTGGAGCTTCCTTCTGAAGCTCAAGCGGCGGATCATACATCTTCCACTAAACTAGACTGTGGGTTGGTCTATGGACATTTGAAATCCCAACCCCACTTATTTGGGAGTAAGTTCCATGCTTTTATATTGAACTTATTTCTGAGTAGTAATGGGTAAGATATCTCTGGTCCAAGCCATCCGTCACTCAACTATCTGTGCCATTAATTTCTCAACCCTGAAATAGTTTGGAACACATCAAAAAAAATGTGGTCCATAAATAACTATACAGGTAACAGGAAAGCCTTTCATAGATCAAAGCACTTAACTCTCCCTTTTCCATACTTAAAAAAAAGAGACAGCGAAGTCACCATCAGAGATGGGAATGAGCTGTGGCTTTTTACAGCCAAATTCTGCTAACTTTACAGCCCCAACTCCAGCAGCACATACCAAAGCCTGTATATTCTGTCTACCCAGATAAATACCATTGGGGAGGAATGCAGATATGTGGCTAAGTCATTCTAATTTGCCACCATGATGGAATTAGAAAGAATGATCAATTTTCTCCAGCCAAGTCCAAGTTGAACTTCCAAGCGTTGCTATTTTTTCATTTGTTTTAGTTCAACCTAAATAAATAGTAAGCATAACTTTCTTTCCCTCAACCCACTCCAAATCTCTCTGAATTTTTCAAAATGCTTAGTACATTTTCTAACATTTAGAACATTTTCTAACATTTAGAACATTTTCTAACATTTAGAACATTTTCTAACATTTAGAAGAGGTGTTTTTCATAAAACAAAACAAACATCTAGCTTGCTAACAGCTAAACCAGAATCCAGAAATTCTACTTCAAATATAAAGATATCCAGGTAGGGGTGGGGATAAACTGTTGTCTTAAAGCCTGGAGAGTCACTACTAGTCAATGTGTGAACAATGCTGAGCTAGAATGACCAATGGGCATATGACCCAGCACCCCCTCTTTTTTTGATAAATAGAAGCGCCCTCTTTTTTGCCATATGAGTCACAGTGTGAGCAAGTTTCTTTGGTTCTTCCTTAAGCTGAGCAGGAGGAGAAATTTCTTCCTGAGGCAGCTTCCCTTATCACTACAGTCATACCTCTGGTTGCAAACATGATGAATGCAGGAGGCACATTCGCAACCTGCAGCGCCGCATCTGTGAAAGAGCGTGATGCAATAAAGCACTTCTGCGCATGTGTGTGATGTCATTTTGCACTTTTGCGCATGCGCACGAGCGCCGAAACCCAGAAGTAACCCGTTCCAGTACTTCTGGGTTTGGCACAGTCCGCAACCTGAAAATGCGCAACCTGCAGCGTTCGTAACCCAAAGTATGACTGTAATGGTAAAAAGGTAAAGGTAAAGACCCCTGACAGTTAAGTCCAGTCACGAACAACTCTGGGGTTGCGGCGCTCATCGCGCTTTATAGGCCGAGGGACATTTGTCCACAGACATTTGTCCACAGACAGTTTTTCCAGGTCATGTGGCCAGCATGACTAAGCCGCTTCTGGCGAAACCAGAGCAGAGCACGGAAACGCCGTTTACCTTCCCGCCAGAGTGGTATCTATTTATCTACTTGCACTTTGACGTGCTTTTGAACTGCTAGGTTGGCAGGAGCAGGGACCAAGCAACGGTAGCTCACCCCATGACGGGGATTCGAACCACTGACCTTCCAATTGGCAAGCCCAAGAGGCTCAGTGGTTTAGACCACAGTGCCATGCAAAGAGCTGCAACTGGTAATACCCCCCCCCATTTTTCCAACTCTTAGTTCAATTTATACATCACATTGAGAAGCCGGCGAGAGAACACAGGATAATTTGCATGCAAAGTATATGTGTTACTCCCCAAGCTTTCTCATGTGAATGTGACTTTAATAAGCATCTAATAGGCATGTGAAAAGGCAGTTTGGCAATTGACCTGATTGTCCACCCATGTTCTGGATTTCTTTATCACGTAGCCACAGATTTCTCTAAGCATTTGTGTAATAGCCAAGGCAAATGTCCAGTGCCTCTTTCTCCTATGTCAACACAGCCGGGAGAAATTCCATTGGACCTCTACCAATGAGAAGAGGAGAAGGGAGGAGAGGTCAGAGGAGGGATCTAGGAGGTGGAGAAAGGAGTGTCGTTGAATCAGCAGATCTCAATGATCATTTTGTTTTATCTGGGAGACATTCAGTTCTTTGGCTTCTATTCTTTCCTAAATTTAGATTTCACCACCACCATCACATTTGCTCACTGCCTGCTTGCAGCTTGTGTTCTCAAAGGACTTTTACATAACTAATAATGTGTTCTTTACACCATAGCTGACTATAGAGGTTGATTTTAGGCCGTAAACCCAGTTGTTGTCAAAAAAAATCTTCTCCAGAACCAGTATTTATATTCCTCCACTCCCTGGATCCCTAAAAAGAACCTGCTGGTGCCATGTTTGTGCCATACCTGTCCAGCAAGAAAAGGGCAGGATGATATAAGCTGGTATGAGCTTGAATCGTTAAGGAGCAAAGTGCCTTGATAACTACTACTGGAACTTCTCCAGCAGTTTATGCTGTTATTCCTGTCTCCCAAGGGCCAAACTAGATACCAGGTTGCAGTTCAGTTGCCTGGATTGTTGTTTTTGAATACTAGCTATGGAAAAGTGGGAAGGCTAATGGTGGGGATCACGTCTCATAAGGAGGGGGACTAGCCTTTCCTCATGAGTAGCCCTTCCTCTTGCACCAAGGTCCCTTCTGTACTGTACATTTAAAGAAGTATTGTGTCACTGTAAACAGTTGTGGCTTCTGGGGAACTGTCATTTTTTAAGGGTGCTGAAAGTTGTTAGAAGACCCCTGTTTAGTTCAGAGCAGTACAAGTCCCAGTGTTAAATCGCTATTTCCATGGAATTCTAGGATTCTACTCTGGGATTTGTACCTATCTGAGTTTGTGTCAGTGTAAGCATGCTCAATCTTTCATATGGTGGTGATATTCTCTCTCTCTCCAGATATTGCAGACTTTGTTATTTTACCTTCTTACAAGTGGAAGGCATAGTTTCAGCACTCAGGGAACTGACAACGCAATTGGGATCTATAATTTTATTTTCTCCTCCCCTCTACCACCACTAGGAAAAGAAGCACCATACATCTGAAACTTCCATGAAATACTAACAATGAGGTTTTTTGCAGTTGCATTTTATTCCATTGGGGTCAAGATTTGGCTTGTTTCAATGAGAGATAGTGATGACCACCAACATGGATAGCATTCAAAGATAGTTAGAACCATTTGTGCATGATAAGGCCATCAGTAGCTACTAATCACAAAGGCAATGTTCTAACTCTACTGTCAGAGGCATCATGCATCTGAATGCCAGCTGCTGGGAACCGCAAGTTGGGAGAGTGTTGTTGGCTCAGATGCAACTTGTGGGCCTTCCATGGACATCTGGTTGGCCACTGTGAGAGCAAGATGGTCTTTGGCCTGATCCAGCAGGGCTCTTTTTATGCTTTTGCTATCCATACAATACAATGCCTATACATGTCTACTCAGAGCTGACTTCCATTGAGTTCAATGCCACTTAAAAGATGCCTGCTTCTTGGGAGAAAAGCAATGACAAACCTAGACAGCATCTTAAATAGCAGAGACATCACCTTGCCAACAAAGGTCCGTATAGTTAAAGCTATGGTTTTCCCAAGAGTAATGTATGGAAGTGAGAGCTGGACCATAAAGAAGGCTGATCACCAAAGAATTGATGCTTTTGAATTATGGTGCTGGAGGAGACTCTTGAGAATCCCATGGACTGCAAGAAGATCAAACCTATCCCTTCTGAAGGAAATCAGCCCTGAGTGCTCACTGGAAGGACAGATCCTGAAGCTGAGGCTCCAATACTTTGGCCACCTCATGAGAAGAGAAAAGACCCTGGAAAAGACCCTGACGTTGGGAAAGATGGAGGGCACAATGAGAAGGGGACGACAGAGGACAATATGGTTGGACAGTGTTCTCGAAGCTACCAGCAGGAGGCAGTGGGAGACAGAAGTGCCTGACGTGCTCTGGTCCATGGAATCATGAAGAGTCGGACACGACTAAACGACTAAACAACAACAAGTGTGTATAAGATTCCAGCCTTGCAATACAATCATAAACATCTCTACTCAGAA